CACACACACGCTGCTTCCTATTTGATATGAAATGCTGTGGTTTGACTAGAAGCTCAAATAAATCTGTGGATCAGGGAGCAGTGGGATAAATCACACACAGGAGAAATGTGTGTGTGTGTGTGTGTGTGCGTGTGTGTGTTCTGGTAAAGTAGATTATCAGAGTTAGATCCGTTCCACGAGGAGATCATGAGTTCAGAGAGAGCTGCAGGTCCTTCTACACTTCAATATCAAACATCTCACAGCAGCATTACAAACACCTTCTACTATTAGTATTATTGTTACTATTATTAATGTTTGATAATGTATACATTGTTTATGTGTGTGTGCGTGTGCGCGTGTGTGCGTGTGTGTGTGTGTGTGTGTGTGTGTGTGTGCGTGTCAGTAACCCTCACATGGTCCTGAACATCGATCTGGCTCCGACCATCTTGGACATCGCCGGCCTCGACACTCCTCCAGACATGGACGGGAAGTCCATTCTGTCTCTGCTGGAGACGGACAAACCTGCTAACAGGTACAGAAACACACCCACACACACACACACACACACACACACACACATATATATATACATACATACATAGTTCTTCTAAGTGTACTACCAGACGTTAAACCTGTACTCTGTTGCATATTCCTGCGTACATTGTGACGAGTCTTCCTCGTGGTGCTGCTGCAGTGACAGATGTGTGTGAAGTGATAACCAGTGTGTTGAAGACAGAGGTCAGAGGTCAGAGGAGAGACGACACTCGCGGGAGGTCTCTCAGCCGTAGCGCTTCATTTAAACGCCTGCGCTGACGTTCACAAACACAACAGGAGCCTGAAGGGATTTAAATGTTTCTATTAATATTCATAACGATCAAAGTGTCAAACACGAAGGTCAGGAGCTCCGAGCAAACGGAGGAGAACGACTCGGACTAGAAGATGTTTCACAGCAGGCTCAAGTATCTGAGCCGAGGATTCTACACAAGCTCAGGACTGTAGATAAGAAGTGGACGTCGTCGCGGTGACGTCTCTCATCGGTTTGTGGACTGATGTTGAAGCCTCGAGTTCGGCGTCACCATCTTGGATTACAGCCGTCGCCATGTTGGGTTCTCTTTGCAGCTAATGAACAGGAAGTGACCATATTTGGAGTGAGGAGGAGTGACTGCTCGTTAGAGAGGGTGCAGGTTTTTCATCGACTTCATCGGCAGAACCGGAGGTGGACACATGGGGGATGTTTTCTTGTCAACAAATCCCATAAAGCAATGAGTTTGACTCATTGCTACAGACACATCACCTCGTACTGAAGCTGGATGTTCACGATGTCACGGGATCACATATCACAAGAAGGCCCATCTTGTTGGTTTGTCTTCATTGAAAGAAGACTGAAGGAGTTTCTACATGGAGAGAGATGTTTTCACTCTGCTCTGACTGGCGTCGGTAAGAGTTTGATTGACAGACGGTTCAGTTATTCACCTGCTAGTATTGTTTTTAGGTGCCCGCCCTTTTCCAAACACTTTCCAATGACGTCTTGTGATGTTTCCGTGGGCCAGGTTAGCGTACACCGTCCTGCTGCCACAGACTCTCACTAAAGCACCAGATGTGGATTCATCCACCGCTGAAAGTAGTCCTCAACAAAGTTACTAGTTCCTCCCGTCTGTTTGATTAAAAGGTGTTTTTAAAGACTTCTGATGTCAGGATTAAAAGAAATAAACTCAAATGTTTTGGTTTGTGAAGAGAACGAGCATGACGCTCGTTCTTGACTTTGAAAAAGTAAAAACAAAAATAGTTTAGAAATCCGGACTCAAGGTCCGCTCGCTGGCTTTGTTGTCTTATACGTAGAGGACGAACGCTCAGAACGTTGAATATAAAAGTGGACTCATTGACGACCAAAACTATCCGAAATCATTGTAGACATTGTAGCTCTGATGAATGCTATCTAGCTTAGCCGTGAAGTAACTTCATGACTATGAGAAACAGAACCACAGTCTGCAGCACATTAACACTGGAGGCTGCACCACTGGGACCCTTGGAGGTGTTCGGGGCCTTGTTCTTGGGCAGCTCAGTGCTGTTGAAGAGGGGCCAGTCACTTTCCACACCCACAGTCATCGTTCCCAGTTCGAGGATTGAACTGGCGACCACTGCATTTTGCTGGACTTTTCTTTGCTGTCCATCATGGTGGACGCTGGAGTGCCAGAAAAGCAGCATGAAAGAAGATACTTAAAGGCTGCCTCAAACCTCAAACCTTCATCACATAACTACATGTTGTAGGGCTCGTGTGTCTTTTACTTTTATTTCTGCACAATTTTTTCTCGTCTTTCCATGAAACTTTTGAATCCCAGTTGTTTGTGCAACTGGAAAACGTTGTGCAGTTGTTTCCAATGTGGTTGTTCTTTTAACTGCAGCAGGAAAAATCCAAATATTATTCCTAAAAGTTAAAGTTACAAACATCCCAGAATAGAAAGAGATGGAGGCAGTCTCTCAGTGACGGGCCCCAGTGTGTTATGAATATTATATAAATGTGTGTAATTCTTGATTTGAACTGAAGTGAACTCATATGACACAAAGAGGAGCTCCAACCACAACTTAAATTCTTCATCAGACGTGAGTTTAATTGTTTGATATTACATGAACGCAGCGAGTCCAGCTGCTCCTACACTGCTTCAAACACAATACTTCACTGTTGTGTTTCTTGGGTTCAAAGGTAAAAAACAATAAAGAGAGGACCGAAGGTTGGTTGTGATGACTGTTACTTGTTGCTCAAAAAGAAAGATAACAACTGAACCCCTGCAGGATTAATTACTAAACTCCCTTTACTGTTTCCTTCTTCTTCAGGTTCCAAGTGAGCAAGAAGCCGAAGGTGTGGAGAGACTCCTTCCTGGTGGAGAGAGGGTAAATCCACCACATCACAACCTGTTTAACCCTCACATCTATTACTACTAAACTATGAACATATGAACCCAAGTTGTTATGAAGACCAATATTACCATGTCAGACACAGGGTCTTACACCGTGTTCAGCATAAAACATCCTCTCAGACCTTTGATACGGATAAAGAAATACTTTAATTTGGGAAAAACTAGTCTCAGAAACAGAAATGGTCCTCTGTGTGTGTCAACAGGAAGCTGCTGCACCAGCTTGTTGAGGGGAAGGAAGTGTCGCAGGAGGAGAACTTCCTGCCCAAATACCAACGAGTAAAAGACCTCTGTCAGAGAGCCGAGTACCAGACGCCCTGTCAGCAGACTGGACAGGTACAGTCATGAGTGTCACAGAAGTTACTCCTCTTTTTACTGTCCTCCTGATCCTAGTCCTTCCAGTCCTATTACTGTCCTGATCCTAGTCCTTCCAGTCCCATTACTGTCCTCCTGTTCCTAGTCCTTCCAGTCCCATTACTGTCCTCCTGATCCTAGTCCTTCCAGTCCTATTACTGCCCTGATCCTAGTCCTTCCAGTCCCATTACTGTCCTCCTGATCCTAGTCCTT